TGACCTTTTCAAGGTCAGAGTGTAAACAGCTGCCAGTGGCAAATCTCTGAGTATCTCTTGAAAACTGCTCCTTTAGCCTCTAGTCCACATCCTTCCACAGTAAAGTCTCTTCCTTACTCCTCTGTGAATTTCCAGGCATCTGGAAGCACAGTGATTTAATGTTGTCTTTCACCTTACAGCTGCCCTGTGGAAACCCACTGACTTAGAAAGTGAGCACACAGTTCTCAGTTTTAAGAAGGGGCACTATACAGTTTAACAAAGCATTTCTAAGGTGCAAAAGCCCACAGAAGCCAGTGGAAAGTCCTATTGACCTTGAGGGTCTCCATATTTTGGAACTTCACTTTGGGAGTGCTTTAGCAGCAATAACACCACTGAAATGCCCCCACACTCATTTCAGCAGTTCGAGAATTACATTTTTCATTTTCATGGTGTTTCTTTATGCAGCCATCTAAAATTTCCTCTTCTAGAATCACGGAACAGTTTGGGTTGGAAAGCACCTTAAAGACCATCTTGTTCCAACCCCCTTGCCATGGGCAGGGACACCTTCCACTATCCCAGGTTGCTCAGAGCTCCATCCAACCCCGCCTTGAACACTTCCAAGTGTTACATACAAAATCATGTGCAGTCCAATTTGAAGTGAACGAATGCGAATGACAATAACACCATAATCTTCCCTGACACCAGCCAGCCTCCCAAGAGGAGCCTCAGGAAAAGGACCCAGGCACAGAATGGATGTTTGTTGGGCCCTGTTGAGTGTCAGGATGTAGGCAGCAGGAGTGATTGCACAAGAGACATTTCCGTTGTTGCTTGACCTACCAGAGACTGAATAAATAATCATGAGCATTTAGATTACTAAGAGGAAGAAAAAACTGAACTAAATCAACAAGGATAATGTTAAAAATTATTGATTGTACACTTTATTCACAGCCAGTACTTAGGAGACATCTTGTTTTTTTTCTTGCAGTCTAATTTTGGTGGAGCGACGCATGGAGGGTCTCTCCCCACAGCTGGTACTGCTCTCTGGAAGTGCTTTGTCACTCCATCTTACATCTACATGTTACAAATACATCTCTTCCTTTACCTTTCAGCACCACTTCCATCAACAGGAAGAGATTATCTGGCCTTTTTTTTTTTTTTTTGAATCCTTTGCAAAACAGTTGTGCAGGTTTTTTCCTGCAAGAAATGAAGAGATTTGGCTCTGTGATGGCACCAGAGACTGTCAGCCTTATCAGCACGGGCTGGCAGGTCCCACAGAGTTTACTTTGATGGTTCTCATTGCTAGCATTTCTCAGTAATTCCACAGTTGTAGGGATGCCCACTGAATTCTGTAGAGTTTATAAACTTTATGTATATGCATGATTTTTAGGATTGTGTGGAGGCAGCGTTGATGGAAGCGTTCTAGGAGACGCAGGTGGTGGCGGTAGACGACCCATGATTCGGAACCATACAAGAGAGTCGACAACACTATGGCTTTGTAAACACTGATCTTGGTGCTTTTCTTCAAGTGTTTGTTACGCCATATTCTTTTATGGAGTTTTCCAAAAGCACTATATGCCTTTGCTAATCTGTTGTCTATCTCCCCATCAATCTTACCATCTGAGGAGAGGAGGCTACCTAGGTAAGTAAACTGCTGGACTGATTTAAGCTCTGACTGGCCAATGGTGATGTGGGGATGATGGAAGGCTTCCTGAGGTGCAGGTTGGTAGAAGACTTCCGTCTTCTTTAAACCAACTTCCAGCCCAAAGAGCTCAGCAGCATCTGCAAAGCAGGATGTTAAACGCTGCAGAGCTGCTTCTGTGTGGGCGACAAGGGCGGCGTCATCAGCATAAAGCCGCCACCACCTGCGTCTCCCAGAACGCTTCCATCAACGCTGCCTCCGTACAATCCTAAACATCCACTGGTCAGATTATGTGACCAACACATCTGTTCTAGAACAAGCAGCAGTCACTAGCATTGAGGCCACGTTGCTGAGAATTCAGCTGCGCTGGGCAGGACACGTCTCCAGGATGAAGGACCAACCACCGCCTCCCTAAGATCTTGCTTTATGGTGAACTTGCCTCCGGCTGCCGCAAGAGAGGAGCCCCGAAGAAAAGATACAAGGACTCCCTGAAACAACATCTCAGCCTCGGCCACATTGATCTTCATAACTGGTCTACTCTGGCCGCAAACCAGGAGGTCTGGAGACACACCATCTATAACACTGCCGTTTCCTTTGAGAATGCACGCAGGATCACCCTTGAGGAGAAAAGACAACGCAGAAAGAATCATATCCTGCTGAATACACCACCTAAGGAGTCTTTCTGCTGTGCCTTTTGCAATCGGACATGTCTATCTCCTATTGGCCTCATAAGTCACCAGCGTGCCTGTAACAAACGTGGATAGTGCCTTCCTAAATCTTCGTTCGCGAAGCCCAGCCATGATGATGCATGATTCTATGCAATATTAAGGAGAAAAAAAGTGTTGCTATGTAGCTCAGTGATTTTTACCTGTAGAGCTCTTCAGAAGCAAGGGATATTGAAAAGATTTTGCTGTGTGCTCTCTCTCACTCTTTGCTTTCTTCTTTAGCCTTGTAAGAGACTGGCAAGCCATCTGCTGGAGTGGAAGCTGCTCATATATTCCAAGGGGTCAGCAGAGCTGGTCAGATGGGGTGACCTTGAGGCCAGCAGGAGGTAATGATCAGATTAGCTGAGTCAGAGCAGCCGACCACAGCTATATATATATCATGGCTCCCCTTCAGAGGAACTCACCTAATCAGATCTGTCCCCAGGAATATGTTTATCCTGTCTGGAGCCTGGCTTTTGAAACAATTTCTTTTTTTTTTTAGACCCCAGCTCCCTGCAAACCCAGGAGTGCTGAGATCTCAGCAGCCCTTTTGATTTCCCTCATTAGGAGAATGCTGCAAAATTTAAGTCCCGATTCTAAATGCCCAGTTTTTCTCCAGACATGAAAAGCTATGGTTTAACCTCAATCCTACTGTCAGCAAGAAAAACTTGTTCCAGTTCTTTCTGCACATCTTCACAGACTTCATTTTCCACAGGCTTTATTGAACTAGTCCCTTAGATTTGAGCATCTTCTCTGAATTGCTGAAATCCCTCCGTTGTGTGGGTGACAGAGGATCTCTGCCCTGCAGGAGGCCACAGAGGCGTGTGGTTTCTGACACCAGGAGAAATACCACCAGGAGAAATGCCTGTGCTTCCCCTCAGTGCTGAAGGATGAGGGCAGTTTTCCTGGGCTTGCTGTCTGCATCCCAAAGGTGTGTCATTGACTTCACTGATTTTTACGTTCCAGTGAACAATCTCTATAGCAGAATCAAAGCCCAAAGCAGCTCAAAGCTTTCAACTGATAACCCCAAAATGTGAGGAGAAAGTCTGCTGGAGTCATACAGGAGGAGACAAAACAATTCCTCTTTCCTGCCTCTGAGGTCCAGCTTTCTCCTTGGCTGATTACATTTGAATCTTTCCCCAAAATTAACCCCTGCAGCACTGTTCAGGGGACCTGCTCTGACGGTCTAAAGAGTAATGTGGAGAAATATGTGTGAATAGGTGCTTCTGGAGTTTTTCCCCCAAATCTGTGTTTGTGGACTGCACCAGCACGTCAGGTAAGCTCTCTCCTCCTTCCCAGACAGCCTGTCCATCCCAGTTCTGCACAGGCGATGCTTCTCACAGCAAATATCACAGTGCAGCAGTTTTGAGCCAACGAGCTCAACTTCTCATGGCTGTTTATTTGTAAAACCAAAATCAACCTATTTTTTGGGGTTTTGAGGAGTGCCTTGAAATCCTGATACGTGAGAAAGGCAGAAGACCTGGGAATGGTGAGGTTTACCCCAAAACCTGGGGAGGTATTTAAAGCACAGTTTTGGGGAAGCAGCTTTAACTGATAAGCTGAAAATCTCTGCTGCACTTCAGTAGCACAGAGGGAGCTGTACAATTATAATAAACCAGGGAGGAAAAGTGCATCTCTCATCAGTAAAGCCATGCCTGTTGGCTGTGTGCTTTGCTCTGCACTGTATTTGTAGCCTCACATTTGTCAGCTTTTCTTCCCTTTTGTTTTACCAGGCTGTTACTGCGGCAGAGAAGTCAATAAACACAAGTTTCAAGCACTTTTCGCTTTGTGATTGCGATGTAATGCTGCCGTTAAATCCTTTTTTTTCCTTATGCTGGCTCTTCCAGAGGGATATTTTAGCTTCTATTAGATTCAGTTTTTACAGTGAGCGCCGTGCTCACTAAAAAGAGGGAGGACCATGAGGCCCCACTTCCTACAGGTGGTGGTGCTGTGAGTATTCCACATCCAAAGGGAATGGACAGCAAGGGAAGGATGACTGAGTTGCCTCCTTCAGGACATCCCTGATGCCCTGATGACACCCCTACCCTCATTCTTTGTCCAAAGGATGATGGATAATGCAGGAATCTTTCACAACTGCTGAGTTCCATTCCCTAATTCTGGCTGGTTGGACGGTATCAGCACAAGGAGGGCAAAGGAATTGTTTTGGGTGGGACGGAGTGTAACTAAGGGCAATGGGAGGAAACAGAGCAGAGAAATGTCCAGGCTGACTATCAAGAAAAACATCCTAACATTGAAGCCCAAAAGGGCTGTTTAATAATCTCCCAAAGGAAGTAGTGGGAACCTTTATCAATGAGTCATTTCAAACTTTGAAGGACAAAGCCCTGAGTGTGGGGAATAGTCATGTGTTGGCAGGGCATGAAGGGTCTTTCCCACTCCTCCTTGCTGACTCCCTGCCCTCACCCTTCTGAAAGAAACACAGTCTGAAAAACACAATGCAACCTGTAGTTTCCTGACATACACACACACAGAAAAAAGAAAAACAACATCCTCTCCCATTGAGATTGGGAACCTGGGAAATGTTTTTTAAAGTAGCTTTTATAACATGACACATGATAACAAGTTTTAGAGTAATTTCCTTTTTTTTTTTTTTTTTTCAGACACGTTGCCAGAACGTGTGTCTGCCCTGGCAGCAGCTTTCTTGTGAATTAATGAAACATCAACGCTGCACTACCAGCCAGATTGGAGTAGTGTGTTTCCAGGAGAGAGCCTGAACTGGCAGATCCTCAGCTGCTACAAATCAATTAAGTTCCCTTGATTCCAGCACAGAGGGCCACCAACTTACAGCTACAGAAGGTCTGGCCCGTTTCATGCTGGAACAGAAATATTGCTTTCATTTTGCTGAGAGCTGGACTACTTAAAATTTAAATGCTGTTAAAATTTAAAATCATGATTTAATTTAAAATTCCCTTTGCAGTTTCTTTTAGTGACAGCATCCCTCATTTCTGCTCCAGGCAGCTGAAACTGTACCTTTCCCTGAGACCATCACATCAGGGTTTGCTTGGGTGTCCTGTGGTCAGCAGGTATGATACGATTTGCCCTTGGATTTTTTGCTGATCCCTGTTTCTTGCTTCTGTTAGTTAAATAACTGTAATAAGAATGATCAGTGAATCACAGAATCATGGAATCATAGAATGGTTTAGGCTGGAAGGGATCTTAGAGATCATCCAGTTCCAACTCCCTACCACGGGCAGGGACACCTTCCACTAGACTATGATGCTCAGAGCTCCCTCCAAGCTGGCCTAAATAGCATTAAAAGTTAGCCAACAGTCACTACATTGCCCAAATCCCTGGAAAGCAGCAGCGTGCCTCAGCGCTGGAAGAGGAATGGAAGCACAATGGAGAAGGAGCCCCTTTCCTGTGGAAAAGCATTGAGGCTCAGACAGGCTGCAAAGACACAGCTTCTCACCAGCATATCCCGCCCCTGTGTGTCTTGGAGGCTTGGTTTTGGGAAGGGGGGGTTCTTCCAGCTCCCTAGACAAACTTTGTGCCCTCAGAACATGTTGTAATGCTTATAATTTATAGAGAATGCCGAGAAGAGAAACCTGCTCTCTGACCATGCAGACCCTGGGCAAGCCCTGACAACTTTTGCTGTGTCTTGGATTCACAGGTGAGGGTTTTCCCTTATTAAAAGTTATTTCATGGTATCTGCTCCCCAATTAGTTGGGTGGCTGGGGCTGGCATCAGTGAAGGAGAAAATCCCCATCTCCCTCAGCCCGTGGCTGTGAGGGAAGGGCGAGCTGCAGGAAAAAGCAGTAAAGAAGATGTGGAGCTGGGGAAGGAGACCAGGAGGTGAAGCAACCAAGAGAAATGAGGGTTGAAGGGGCAGGGGAGGTGTTGCTAGACCAGAGATGCTCCATCCTCTGTGTGTTGCCCCAGCAGCAGAGCCTGTGCCCACAGGCAGAGCTGCACCCCGTGGGCAGCACCAGGTCCCAGGCTGGGAGACATCAGTTCACCCCTTGCCTTCTCACAAAAATGGGAGGTTTTGTGCTTCCAACTTGCAACTGAGCTTGTAATTTGGCAAAGAAAGTTTAAAAAAAACAGAAACCAAAAAAAACCCCCACAAAAACCTACAACCCAAAGCACATCGTTGCAAAGTGTTACAGCACATGCATTTAGCACCTCGCGACAAAGCCCAGCCCAGAGCCAACTTTCCGGCGGAATTTTCCTGCGCATCTGCCAAGTGGTGCGTGGAAAGAACCATCTGTGATGTCCTGCAGGGGCATTTCCTGGTCACAGCTCTCAAAGGGTAACTAAAACCTGGATTCTGCAGGACATACTCCACTGCCCAAAAGGGCTTGGGCTTTCACAGGGGTGTAAGTTAAAGCTGAGAGAACAAGTAGTGTGGCTCCTGCTGCTTTGTCTGCTCTGTCTGTGTCTGGAGCTGATCAGCCCACCTGGCAAAATTCACATCTCCTAAGTGCCTCATAGTCCAGCTTGCATTTTAAGAATTTTGCTTCAAAGAATTAGTAGCATGTCTGTCAGGCACTGCTCACTAAACACTTTTGGATCAAGTGATATCTTGGATCACCTAGGTCCTGATGATGCTTATATTTTAGTCTCCAAAGGACTGATTACCCACAGAAACATGCAGTCAAGGGAGAACAGAATCACAGAAAATGCTGAGTTGGAAATGAACCAAAAAGGATCATTGAGTCCAACCCTTAGCCCTGCACAGGACCCTCCCCAGGAGTCACACTGTGTGCCTGAGAGTGTCATCCAAATGCTTCATTGCCCATCCCTGGAAACACCAGTCCAGCCTGAGCCCCATGCAGGCTTTTGCCAGGCACATCTTGTGCAGCTCAGAACAGGAATGTCTGGATGAAAGTCCATACACAGGAGGCCAGACTACATGATCTAATGGCTCCTTTGGCCTTAAAATCTTGAATCAGTGAACTGAAATCTATGAAAAAAACAGTCCCCAGCTGTAGGAATGAACTGGCTCAATTGCAAATAGGTCCATTAAACTCGAACTGACAACCCTCCTGGATCATCTTTAAAGTTAAAAATTGGATTGAAGGGGATGTAAGTATAATTAAACTCCTGTAGTTTCAAGCTAATACAAAATCTCTCACTTCCTGTCCAATACTCCTGTGTGATGTTCCTGTGCTTGCCTAAAAAGCTGATGTATTATTTTCCATCTCTCTCTACAAAGGTGGTCTCTAGTTGGGCTGCAATGTGAGCATGAGGCTGGAGCTGGACTGACCAAGTGACCTGCTCTGGGCAGGTGGCAGCCACAGATGTCCCCTCCAGGTGTTAAGCCAGGTAATTCTTGTGGAGAGAAAAGGAGGGACCCTCTCACATTCCTTCCTTCACTTCTCTCTTCTTTCCCACTGCTGGCATGTCCTACCCCAGTGCTACAGTCCCTTCCTTTTCTTCTCACAACTTCTCATCCCCTCCTCCCCTCATCTCTCTCCTGTTTCTCCTTCTTTCCCATCTCACTTTAAAACACAAAACTGTTTCAAAATCTTAAGAATTGGGTTTTAGAGGAATCAAATACTGTCTGAACTGAGTCAAACTCTGAGTTACTCCTTTGCCTGGGACAAAGGCAATAAGATGTGGATAATAGTGCAAAAAGGCCGGGTGCCTTAGCAGGGTGGGCTGTGAGATCAGCCCCCAGGAACTGAGCAGGGCTGTGTTTGGTAGGTGCTCAAGGGCTGGACCCAAGCAGGAGCAGAGTGTGGCTGCAATGTTCACAGTGCCATCTTTTGGATAAGGTGGAAAACTGTGCTAACTTCCCAGTGACACCAAAAAACTCTCCAGGCAACCCCTCCCAGGGAAAAAGGCACTTTTTTCCTTGCTGTTGCTGAAATCGCTGCCTCAGTTCTCCTTGAAGTTTTTATTGGGAAAAGTTATTCTTCCCTTCAAATCCAAAATTGCTCTGTGGTGTGTCTGCACGGCATCCAGCAGTGCTGCCTTGCTTCAGTCAACTGCACTTCAGCGGGTACAGCACAGGGAAAACCACTTTGGAAGAGATTTTTCCGAAGGAACTCGAGTGCCTGATGAAAGCCACGGCAGCTCCCGATGATGGAAAGGCTGACCACATGCAGGAGCAGCAGAGATGCAAAGGAGGCAGCTGTTCCAGGATTTGTCTGCACTGCAATGTGCTTTAGGGCTGAAGAGAGGAAAAACTCTAAAAACCAAATATGCCCTGTGTGTAATCTTACACTGCCCCATGTAAAACACAAGTGATGCTAAATGAACACTGCATCTCCACCGGAACTGGGCTTCTAAAATTGAGTAAAATGACCTGAGTCTTGGAGGGGCCTTAACTGAGACTATTCTGATCCTCGGAAGTCGTGCTGATGCTTTTTGTATCTGAGCCAAGATTCTGTAAATCTAAGTCAGCTCTGTCTCTTGTGCCTAGTAACATGAAGCAAGAAATAGCCTAGCCTTATAAAAACTCTGAGATTTGGCATCAGCTCATATTGATTTTCTGGCTCCTAAATGAAGCCCGAACTTCTGGTTCTTGCCCAAACAACAATCTCCTTGGAGCTTCCTGCCTGCAAATCACACTGTCAGATACTGGGTCTTCTGAGCTTGTTCAGACTCAGATTTCCAAGTTAAGCTGAGCTTCCTTTTGTTTACAGACACTTTTCTTGAGCAAAGTCTTTATTTTCTAGTTTCATGCTCTTTATGGAACCAAAATACTCAGTGACTTGTATAGAATTTCTTTGGTCAAAACCTACTGCCATGAAATTAACAGTAAAATGCTGCTGATTTTATTGTAATCAAGTTTTCCCCACTTGGGAAACTCTAGTCTTCAAGAAAGCAGTGCTATAGGAAACCAGGACTAACTAAGCAATGTGATTAAGCACAAGATGTTCTAGTGCCCACCCAAAAGCCCCATAAATGGGAGCTGAATAGAAACTGTATCTCTCTGAGTAGCCCTGGTTGCCCCTTCATGCCAACCTCTGTCATCAGCCTACAGCAGGTATCACTTCAGCCCATGATTGTTCTCACGGAAATCTGTATAAATAAAGTTGGCAGGATATAGCCTGGAGTGCTGTCACCCTGAGCAGAAGCCCAGGACAGCTTCCCCATGTTTGCATTACTGAAAATTACTGTCACCAAATGTCTGCAACTACTGAGTTTCCCTCTCCCTTCTTGACAACTACTGTCACACCTGGAACCTGTTTATGCCACTGAAACACCATTTGGAGGTTGAAGTGCTGTATATAAATGCTATATTGAAATGCTGCTTCTGGTTATGTCAAGTTAAGGACGTGCTTTTGAAGAGGAAAAACAGACCCATAGGAAGCTTTCATTTGCTGGGTGTTGATGGGACCATTTTGGCCACATAGGTAAGTGAAGTGTGCCCAGAGAAGCTGTGGATGTCCCATCCTTGGAAGTGTTAAAGGCCAGGTTGGATGGGGCTTGGAGCAACCTGGTCTAGTGAAGGTTGTCCCTGCCCATGGCAGGGGGTTGGAATGAGATGATCTTTAAGGTTCCTTCCAACCCAAATCATTCTGTGATGCCAGGCCCTCTTTCAGCAAACTTGTAGCAGAAGGACAACCCTGTTTGGAGGGCTGGATCACCTTCTCATCCCTATTTCCCTGCCACACAGAGCTGAAGACTAGGGAGGAAATGCCTTCAGTTGACATGGTGGCTCTTGAACATGGGTGACTTTCCATGCAGCTGGAGAGCCCTTGGACACAGAGGTGTCCACTGCTCAGGCTGTGTTTGTTTTCTCAGGAATGAATGCCAGGGAAGGAACAAAGTGTTCACCAAATGGGAAATGTGAATCAGTCAGTGGAGGGCACTGGTGCTTTTGAAAGGAAGAGTCCCTAATGCAGGGCAAGCTTGGCCAGCTGGTCATAGGACTTGTCCCCAGGCACTGAGGCCTTCTGCCCTACCTGGGCAACTGAGAGCTCAGGGAAAACCTTGTGAGTGATGGAGTACACTAAACTCTTTAGTGGATTTTGAGGAAAGCCCTCAAAATGGTGGGGACCTGCCTGTGCTGTCACATGTGCTCTGTTACTCTCTCTAAGCTGTTTTATTTATGTGCTGACTGAAGTAACTTTTGATCCCTTGGAAAAATGTGTGCATCTCTCCAGTTTCACAGGTCCCCGCAGAGGTGGATTGTATGCTGGGATGCTCTCAGAGATGACGTTCTGAAGCCACATCATGTGAGTAGGTGGGGGAGAAAATCCCCCTGCGGTCCATGAGGGTGGTTCTGCTGGCAAATGCCAGGTCCTGCTTGTGGATGCTGTTTGTGTGCAGTGAATGTGGCAGGGGAAGCCAGGAAGAGCAACCTCGGATAGAGGGAAGCCTTAGAGTAAACCAGTCCAACAAAAGGAACTTTACTAAGTCTCAGTGACAGATGGATTGAATTATTCAAGCTTAAGCTAATACAAACTTTCCATGTCAGACACTATGAGTTTCACTTCACGAGGACTAAAGAGTTTTGGGCAGTGTCTCTTTAACGTGCTGCTGAAGCTTGCACATGGAGGTACACATTTTGGGCTGCTAAAATAATTCTATGTAAGAGGGAAACTATGAGCAACCGAGGGAGAAAGCAACACTTTTGAAAAACAAAATGTGCTTCAGAAACTGATGCACGCTTTGGAAAAATCAGAACATTTTTATCAGTAAGGA